CTCTGTGTGTGTGTGTATATATGAAGAAATAAATAAATATGAAGTATAAGAACTTCATATTTATATTAATATACAAACATGAAGTATAACAACTTCATATTTACATATTTTTTCACATATATATACATACACACACACAAAGCCAGACAATTCTACTTGACAAACTTCCTTAAAAACCAATAACCATTATACACACAAGAGGAAGTTCTGTTGTTTTCTTTTAGTTGCAATAAAATCTTTATCTTCTCTGCTTTTTAATCATAAAATAGTTATCCTATCTTAAACTCTTCACTATCTTCAGCAACAGGCAAACAGACCAAACACTGATAAAAGGCATCTTTGCTGTTGGGAACAAAAGAAACGGAATCCATCTGCACTCTGTGAGCAAAGGCAGGTCTCCACTGACATAAATGGGAGAAAGACAGAGCTCCTGGGAGCACAACTCACAGAACCACAACATACATTCCAGAAGCAACTTCATATAGATCCCAAATGGGGTCTGATGTTGTCATATGCATGCTCATGTGTATGTGTATATATAAATAGAATATTTATATTTTTAAAGTAGGGACATATACAAATTAATCTACAATTCAGGTTAGCCATTGATAGGTGAAAAGAAAAATATTCATTTTATTGAACCAACATTTGAAACGTTTATTTTAGAGTTCTGTATTTTTCCCCCAAGGCAATTGAGAAGTCACAGCAAAGTCACTCTTCTGATCTCAGCTAAGTGCTGTGTATCCTTCCTATATGAGGTATCCAGTATTTTAAAGGAAAGCAAAGGATATCATGCAGTCAAGTCAGCACTCAGGGCAAAGCTACCTGACTCAATTTCTCCTCACTCAGACAATCAGTGAATTTAGGTCTTCGGTGGAACTAAAGAACCATTTCTATTTTGATATGTTCTCTACTGGGACAACACTCTTGCAAGAGGATTCTCAATTATATCTTTACTCAATTACTATAATCTGCCCAATGTAGAAGCACCAGCTGGGATTTTAAGGCTGCTGCAGTATTAAAAAAATTAGACTAGTCAGTCCAGTAAATATGCATGTATTAATATTTAATCATTATTTTGAGAGACACCAACACCAACAAAGGTTCAGAAGCCAAATGTAAGCTAAATGTTATCTTAAATTTAAAAAACTAAATTATATCTGTATGCAAAAAGGGTTTCCTGTATTCCTGTATACAGGAACCCTTTCCAATCAAGTGCTGACTGTACAGAGCTCCTCTTCATGAGCTTCCCAGAAGTGGGCACACTGCAGTGCTGCCCCACGGAAGCCAGCCTGTCCTGGGCATTCCTGACAGGAAGGCAGCAGGGACAGATGAGTTCAAAAGATCCAAAGTACCTGAAGACTTGCTAAAAGGAAAAAATCTATTTCATGCAAGAAAAATCTGTTTGAAATTACAAATCTTGGTATACACAGCTTCACAGAAAATACTGAGCAAATCACAAACCAGGCTGATACGTGGGAGCATGTTTTAAAATTACAAAACTGAACAGTACAAATGCAAACAATACAGCTGAAATTTGTAAGTTTTCAAGAAATTGATCTGCATGTTAAAAAAGAATGAAAATATATGCTGAGTATATGGCATTTCTTTTATACACACAACACAAGGGAACTAATATATTTCTTGTTTTACTCAAACAAGGCATTGATGAATTGAAAAAAGAACTGTTATTCTTGTGGGATACTCTTAAAGATTTTGACAGCTATTTGCTACCAGCACTGAAAGATCTTTAGTAAAAGGTACACAGCACGGGGATTAGTATATAATTAATTATTATATTAAAATTAATACATAGACTCTTGCAAGCATTATTATTTTCCTTCAGTAAATATCTAACTTGATTCAAAGCAACATTTATGAAACAAATTATTCTCTTCCCTGCTTTATTTTAGTTCAAACTTTAGTTCAAACTAAATTCAAATGTTAAACTAATATGCTGAAAATGAGGTTAGCAAGCTGAAAGGCAAATACACTCTTCTTTGTAATTGCAAAAAGGTTACTTGTCCAAAGCAGTATTCTTTCCTCTTTTCAGCTATTTTTCAACTAATTGGTTTTCTGTTATGAAATTTAGGTTTCCTCAAGCATTAAAGCTAGTTTTTAATATTACATACATAATTTGTTGAAATACCACTAACATGAACTTTTAAGATAAATTGTGCCAACTGAAGGAAAACAAATGAAAGGCAAAAATACATTACAAATATAATGATCAAGATTTATATTATTATTAATAATAATGTGTTATAATTGTTAAATATTTTCAAATTCCACTGCTACTTGATGAAGATATATAATACTTGATTTTCCAACTTTTTAAAATACTCATTCAGCTGAAATTCTGCTTCCTTTCTGCATCTTCCCAATGTCAAACTCTGCAATTTTTTCATTTGAATCTGACCTCCCTGATTTCTACTGCAGTAAACAGGGAAAATATACATGAAAGTTAATACTTCTCTGTATTTTATTCTACATTACTACTTTCTAGTTAAGTTCCCTCCTCTGAGCTCCAATATTTTGCATAGCAAAGCACTGGACAGTACTTTGTCAGTCTGCAGGAGTGATTCCAGGTCATTCTGCAGAATATGGTGTCTTCTTGTGGTCCTGGAGGTTCCTAAACCTGGGGCATGTAACTGAACACAAAGTTCAGTGCTGGTTTCAATTACAGCAAGACTTTGGATGCCTCTGACATTCACAATAAGCACATCACCTTCATTAACCCCACAGTACAGAGTGCATTGAAGGGATGCAGTGAATACCTCATCCAGGTACTGAGCTGAAGGATATAAAAGCATCAATGCCATTCCAAAAGCTGTAAAATGATAATTTGTTGCCATTTACACATGGAGGACTGGTTTTTACCAATATGTTATTTGGGCATCTAATAACACTGAGAAGTTGCAAAGGATATGAAAACCATAGATTAATGTAAGAGATACTTTTGTTAGCAGAATTCAGCTACTGAACCTCTTCTTTAGCCATTGATTTAAGATTGCATTAATTAATCTAGAAATGGGAAGACAGCTCCAATTCTATCAAAACCAGCAAAAGTAAGATCAGAGAGAAAAAGAATCTATTGAAATCTAACTGCATATTTAAAGGTAAACATGACTTGCCAGGTCACAGCCACAGCACTGCCCCATGTCTCATCACAAGAGACTTTCAGGAGTGCAAGGGATGGCACCCACTTCTTACTGTAAAGAAAAAAACCCTTTTCTGAGATCTGATAAGTGGTTGTGGGTTTATGCAAGATTAAGGTAGAATTTTGGCTCAAAGCTAAAGCACTGTAGGAATAAGCAATGCAAATTTTTTAATGAGTTGCTCAACTGATAATTTTGTATGCATCAATTGTGCAACTGAAGTTGTAACTCAATTAGTATTTAAAGTAATTAAAGATGAAAGAGTATCCAAAAAAGCTTAAAAGGCGTCTTTTGTAATTTACTGAAGTGGCTGATACTCCATCACTTCAAAAAAAGGAGAATTAGTTATGTAACAAAGAAGAAAATGCCTGGTTTCCATTACAAAACTGCCCACTAAAAATTAAATGAAAAATGCATGATCTTCTAATAGATTAAAAAAAAGCAGGAAAGCTTTCATAAGTACTTCCATTTCCTCAGTCAGCAGGCAATGAACCACATTAACTGGACCTTATGCCAAGCAAACAGACATATGGATTTTATTGATAAATTTCATATATATCTGTATCACCACCACCCATCCCAGATTATGTGCATCACTGCCATTTCACATGTGTCAAACTTACCTACTTATTTTCACAAAATACCTGGGAAATCATTGGAAGTCAAAGTTACTATCTTTAAACATGCAAAATCCACATTCACTGACATCTGAATGCCAGTAAGAAATTTCTAACTTCTATTTCTTTTTGAAAATTTATATTACTTCATACAAATTAGCAAAGATCGTTTTTCTAACACAGACAAAGGACAATTGTGGATTTTGAATAATATATGTATTACTGCAGTCTTAAACCAAACACAGTGCCATGAAGATCTGATTTTTTCAGTCATTATGTCAGCTGTCTTTTGATGACTACATGGATCACTATGGTTGGAGCTTCTAAAATATTTAATATGAGAACTCAGTGATACAAAGGCAAAAAAATAGTAAAAAGAGAAAGTTTTATGTAAAAGCTAAAAATTTTTATTAACCTTAAAAACTCTAATTTAAGAACCCAGCAGTTTAGTAAAGATGTTTCAGTCATAAACACAATTTAAATCTCCAATATACTGGAGATTTTACTTGTGATCACTAAATAAAATTTTGAGGTAATTCCTATGTTGCAAAGGAAAATTACTTCTCAATCCTTACTGGACTTGTACTGTACATTGCAAAGTGTATTTATGCTCTTGATCAATTTAAAGTTTTGATGATTAAATATTTTAATTACATGGAACAACATATTTACTACATACATACTACGATATTTACTGTTTCATTTAAAAATCTCTGTAAGATAAGAAAACACAAATTCCCATTTTGAAATGGCAGAGCTAAGCACAAAGACACAGATAATAGGAATTAAGTACCTAAATGTCTTTAAAAAGCTGGTTTAAAGAACTCAAAGAGCGTTGGTGAAGAGTGCAGGAATTCAAGAAATTTAGATTGATACTTTTTGAAATTTACAGAAAGACTTAATGAATTACTCACCAGTGTTAATTGCTGGCATTTTTTTTGGAGAGAAATGGAGAAGAGGCTTCATTTTAGGTACAGGGCTGTCCAGTAGAGTTTTTGAGGGTTTTTGCATTTGTGTATGTCATCAATATTTCATTCAATAAAACTTCTCAGTAAGTGGAAAAACCAATGCATTACCTACATCAGTGAATCTCCAGCTGGTAGGGGGAACATCTATAAAAATGGCAGCTACTAGGAGGTGTGAAAATATTTGAGTCACCTCATTTTTTGTGTATGGATAAGAGAGGTTTTCCCCCAACTTTTACTAATACTGTGAATTTAAGTACCTTGTTTCCAATGGCCTTTTTTGGTGGGAAGTTAAAAGTCCTCACTTGCTGGTACTTATTCTGTAATTTCTGATGCAAGCTTCTGAACTCCGCATACCTTCGATAGACATTCCACTCATCATCCTTTATCCTGATATAAACCTGCAAAACACAGACAGGAAGGGAATAATGTAAAGACAAGCAGGGCTGGTGTGTGTCCTTCACTCCTCAAAGCCTCCTGCCTCAGCACCTTCATGAGAGGCACCACAAGCTCCAGGACCCCACGGCCACAGGTCCATGTCTGAGTGCATTTGCTGTTGCTGTTGTACACGTCATTAACCTCATTCTCTCCCTTCTCCCTTTTTTCCTCCTTTTTCTCTTATTTTAATCAAGACAAACCCAGCTTGCTCATTTTAACATGACTCTGGGGCAACCATGGAAGCACTTCTTGTTACCATGGTTTCCAGCATATTCTACTACCCAGTGACCAAAGGAAAAAATAATTTAATACCACTATGAAATTGATTTCTATGTCCTCAACACAGTTTTTCAACTTTGTAAATTAGCTTTGTAGCATCAGAATTGCAAAACCTAATTTTATCCAAAGTATGAAACTTAATTTACTTCCTAACAAAATTACATTGAAAACTAAACTAGAAATTTTATTGTTTGGAAAATAAACACAGTTCATTCTTTCTGCTTGTATAGGACATTAAGTATAATTTAACACAGCTGTAGTTTTTGTGATTCTGTTTTTGTTTGCTGCTCATTATTTCATGAGCCTATTACCAATTAGATGCTAAATATTCGCTTTCTGTAGGAAAATGTCATGCAGAAGTGAAACATACTTACAGAAAACTGAGATTTCACTATTTCCTAGGGAATGACACAGTTTAAAAGAATGCTGAAACAGCACAAGTCAGAAACTCTAAACCAAGCATCAGAACTTAAGATCCAGAATGACCTTTCCCTCTGCCCCTTCAACGGCATCTGTAGTTTATTCATTAATGTGTGTGTGTCAATAATCTCAATATTTTACATCAGGAATTAAGCTGGAAAGTACTGATGACACTGCCTTGCCTTGCAGCTCCAAAATCCCCCAGTAATTTAGTAGTAAACTGTAAGGCAAATATCAGGAGAACACTTATGTAAAAAATCAACTCCAACCACCATCACACAGACGGGGCAGTAACAACTGTATTTTTGTAGAAACTAGATAAAAATTAAATTTGGATTTTGATATGGCCAATTTCAACATTGAACTGTATTTTTTTCCTTGTGACTGAAATATGGTCCTTCTCTCTGAGATATTCCAAGTCCTTCAGGGAAAAAAATCCATTTTTCTAACGAAAAAATACTGATGGTATTTCAGAGGTTAAGTGAATGTCCTCTTGCACAAACACTGCCCATCCTTTGGTCTTTCTGAAGTTCTCTTTTCAGACAACTAGTTTCTCAAATTTATAGGAGGCTTCTTTGCAACAAAATAAAATATATTATGCAGATACCATGCAAATTTTGTCAAATTAGAATATTTCAGCATAGAAAACACTAATACATTTTCTACAGGAAGACTATAATTCCAAAAAGGAATGCTATAATTCCAAAATTAGCACATCTAAATTTAAAAGACTCAGAGTATTGTGAATTACAAATGCATATGTAAACAAAAATTCAGCTAGTTTTGGTAACAAGAATTCAGATACTGTAATGATGGAACCACAATAGTAAGTCTGAAAGAAGTATTCAGATTTCTTTTTCACTTTGAAAACAAAGCCAGGATAATTAAACACCTACATCACCATCTGTTTTAACAATTGAGTACATCTTTGAAGACAAATGAAGGAATACATGAAATGCAACTATTTTGCATAATTCTAATCAAATTTATTTAATACAGTAAAAACTATATTAAAATCTTTATTCACCCAGCTCTGAGCCCTCCCCCTGCCTATTCTCACTTCAACCAGTATATTGTTTGGAATTCTGTATACATTGCCAAGATTCATGTTTCAATTTCCCTGAGGAGGGCAGGGATGACAAAAAAAAAAAAAGTTAAATTATTTTTAACTAAGTTATTTAATATGGAAATCCTAATTTAACTAAGCATTTATCTTTGCACATGTGATTTGGTGAATCATGCAGTTTAATATTACCTGCTAAGCTGTAACCCATAGCTAACTAACTAAAGAATCCTGTACACTGTAATTGAAATTTTTCAGGACTGCAAAAACGTAGACTGATTTCTTAGCTAAAACTATTGGAAAATATCTTACTGTTCTTCTATGTACATAGATATTGATTTCATTTAGACAGCAAGAAATGAAAATGCAACATTTGGAGCCCTGTGCCATATTGAATTTATTGACAATCAACTAATAGACTGTGAAAGGTATATTAAAGCTCATGATGCAGCACACATTTAAACTTTTATAATCTCAGAGGGGAATACTATTCCCAAGCCAAGGGATTGCTACACACTTAATGTAAGTTCAGTTGGGAAATCAAACTAAGTAAATATTAAATATAAAATCATTTGGATAAACTTATCCTAGTCTAGTCACTGAAGGCATATAGTTATCTTAGAGCCATGTTATAGAAATTTGAAATGACTACTCACAGGTTTATTCTCAGATCAATTTAAAAGTTTAATTCTAAATCAATTCATTTCTTTTCTGATTCCCCTGTTTTCCTGATATCATCCAATTCCTAGCCTACTTAAATAATTTTCAGGGTAATGAAAATGCGCAGACTAAATCAAAACCATGGCTAGAATATTTACTTGTAGACAAAATATTTCACTTTAATATTGTCTTGAATATAAAAAATTAAGTAGATTCTGTTTGTAAATTAAGAGTACTTTCCACTTGGCTCTCCTGTGTAAAGATTGATTGGTAACCTTTCTGTAGCTATGAGCTATGGCAGCTCTAAGAAAAATTTCAGTTAATAAGCATGTTTAATGAATTAGCCTGTTATTTTCTCATCACAAACATGTCTGAAGTCAGAGATTTGGAGAGCAATAGCAATAACAGTAAGAATTTAATCGTGTTTATCAGTCTACTACCTGCCCATATAGTATTACTGAAATGCCAAAAATCTTCAGAGAATCAATGTGAAAGCACAAGTTTAATGATTGCATACTGAAATGAAAAATCCTGCTGCCATAGTACTGGGGTTTGAGCCAGAAGTTTCTTAACAGGTTAAGAATCTTTCAGCAGTTCTGAGTCAAAAATGCTGTAAGCAAGTCCTGGTAACAGACTGGTACCACTGGCACAGTTCATCACCTCTTCCATATAAAAGCCTGAGGAAAATGAAGGACAAAAGCCAAAATTCTAACTTGCCCCAGCTCCAGCATACACAACCCAAATGCCTGAATCAACACTCATCCTTCTGATCTGCAGAAGTCCCATGTGGGTGCTTCTCTTTTCTGATGTAAAATATAGTTTGGCATATTGAGGATTCACTTTTGTGTCTCTCTCCAGTACAGCTGGCAGCAAGAGAGACTGACTGAGATATTACAGAACCTTCTCCTGTTGCAATGACATCCATGCTGTAGAATTCCAGATGAAACATCAGGAAGGATATTCCCTACACACAGTTACTCCTGAATCTTGCCTGCAAACGTGGCTCCCATTTCCTGGAAGGAAGGACTGAATACCTAATGAAAAATGAATTCTAAGACAGAGAACTTTATTGATGGGAGCTCCACAAATACAAAAGTGCTGAAGTCAAAGTCCTTGTGAGTCCTTGTCCCATTTCAGAGGGAAGGGGATAATGTTAAGGGAAGGAGAGCAGTGAAAACTCTACTAAACCACATATAAAACCAGCACAAGATACAAGAGAACTCAGGACATTTCAGCAGCAGAACACTTCAAAGGACAGAGAGAATACTGAGAATGTCTGTAAAGAATCAGTCCTAGGCTGGATAAGGTCATAGTTTTGAGCATGGGAAAAATGATGGAGAGCAGAAGGAATGCAAAAGAGACTAATCTACACTAAGGAAGCTCATTTACCAGCTAAGTATGCATTACAAGGGGGAAAAAAAAGGTGATAGAAAAACTATTACTTCTGTATTACTGTAATTCTACTGTATTAATGTATTTCTGACTTCCCTTCCCTCACAAGATCCTCTTGTTCATTATATACTTTCAAATCAATGCCCAAGCATGTGATAACAAAAAGGAAAATTAGCAAGTGGTTTGGTACGGACAGCCCAACCAGCATGAACACAAAACCAGAACAGGCTAATTGGCAGCATTATTTTTTTTATGATAACTCAGCTAAACTTGACTGGTGAATGTTTCCCTTACATTTGCTTTTAAATAACACTACAAATCTTGGAGTGCCATTAGTCCATAGTTTTACACTTTGGATAATAAAGGGTTTTTTTAATTCTTACAAATCTGGTTCAACTTTAATGCACATCTCAATTATTCAGGAGCATGAAGAGAGATTTTGATCAAAGTTTACCATTTAATAAATAATTGTTCTCAGGGGATTGAAATTATCTTTTTTCCTGTTAGAAAAGCACACTATGAAATGGGAGCAATGTATTTCAATCTACTAAGATTTTATCAAAATTATGTATTTCTGCACTCAAAGCATATAGAAGTAAAAAGTATTCATGAAAAAAAGTAAGAACCAGTTTCATTTTACTTCACTTCTGGACAATGAGATTCTGTTAAGAATACAAATTCAAGCTCAATTCTCCAAAGTTACCTCTGAAGTGTGAGAAATGAATACAAATGCAAGTTATATTTTGAGACAGCTGCAGGCCTGCATTTATGGTTAAGTTCCCCCTTTGAAAGTGATCCAATTTAAGAATTTTCTGCATAATAAAAAACAAATGGAACAATGAAACTTTTCAGCTGTCATAGGAGCAGCTTTTTGTGTGCCATAGAGACATAACAGGAATTAGAGTGAAAAAGCTTTTATTTCAGTATGACCATTTTATCCACTTGTACAAAGACTACAAATACTTCAATATAATTTATGTTAAATCTTCAAGTTTCTGTTATTCAGTTCATAAAAATGAACAGTACAGTGTCAAATATATTACACAACACATATCAAAGTATGAACCTTAAAAACAGCCAATATTGCTTCACTAAAGAGAAAAGTGTCACACATTTTAGGCTTATCCACTCAATTACAGACAGGCAGAG